ACAGTACATATATCACAATTAAAAAGAAAATGAGGTTTCCAATAATCCTCTCTCAATAACACCCGAGTCACGAGGATGTTGCGGCATACAGACTTCGCAAGCTCTTGGCAAGACTACGCGAGGACTTCTGGATAATATTTGTTTAAGCAACTTTTTATCAATTTATGGTTCAAAAATTTCGTAAGAAGTTGTAGTATTTCCCATGATACGTCAAAACACACAGTGGCTAGCACAACCTCCTATGAAATTGTGTGAAGGTTATGTGCGTGTATTGTTGAGTCTGTCGCGATAATTCAGCCTCAGTTCTACAAAAGACAGGAGGCCGAAATTCCCGGACTACAGTCCACAGCTACGTATGACTCCAAAAACAATATGAAACAAAACCCTCCCCATCGTCTACAGAGTTGTACACAGATACACGCAGTTTTGCCATCGCTGCTTTTAACATGCAAACACTATCACATATTGTATGAAGGTTCAAATTCTACATCTTGCGGTAATTTTTAGTAGGAAACCAGGTTGGAATTTAGCAGGTAAAAATTTTTTTTTTGGCAAATAGTAGCCAGAAACAAAGAATACTTTCAGGCTTTTCATATTTGTCGTTTATTGACTTCTCTTTTTTCTTGAGAATTAAGCAGTCACAACATATAATATTACAATTCACGCTATTATTTCCAAAACAAAACCGAAATTTCAGAAACAAATTTCCTTACTGCAAAATTAAAGGCGTAAAAACATTTTTTAAGTTCCTTTAGCGTAATAAACTGCCTTGGCCAGGAGCAAGCGGTTCTCGCAACAGCGAACTTTTAACTTTTTTGCGATGTGCCACAACAACTCCTGTCACATCGATGGCTTGGCGAACTGTAAAGAAACATAAAATCCAGTAGTACATTTGACAGAGGCCGCAAATACACAAAAATAAACAAGCAAAACAGCACATTCACATGCAAAATTTGCAAACATAACATAACAAATATTACCGGGAATGCAGTGACACACAAAATTCATCAATTTCGAAATCCTGGCGGGAATACCCGACGTGTGGACAATCTTGGATCATTGGACTTTCCATGCTCCTCAACAGGCATACTCTCTGTTGAAGGGAAATGATGAGCTACACAAGTGAATTATTTATATGGGCATACACACACCAATGCACTGGGTTTATGCACCCAGAACAACTTTCCTCAGGACGTCTATGCGTCTGCCTTGAGCTGTCTGTCACTGTTGACGTAATGTAAAATGCAGTATGTTTGCAGTGGCCGGCAATATCGATAGCTTATGAGGACGCGGAAACAGATATCATGACTAGACCACCACGAAATCCTAAGAAGGACAAGCTTGTTAATGCCAGGTTCGCACACGCCCACAGCATTTTTACACTGTTATTAAAATGATATACCGTTTGCAAAAGTTTCAGCCTTTTCTATTACTTCACAAATTTTTGTTTTCAATACCTGTAACTGAAAATCGAAATTACTGAAGCCTTACTGAATGATGGCCGAATGACTCTAAGGTGGAATAACACGCACACAGATCAACTGTAAAATTAAGCATTCTCCCAAAAACTTATCAATTCCATGATTCCGTATTACAGGCTAATGAATTTTTCATATCTGCAAATCGGAATCATGCAAGCTGTGGCCGGTTTCATGACCTATTTTGTTATCATGGGTGAAAATGGGTTTCATGCTTGGCGTCTGCTATGGATTCGAGAACAGTGGGATGATCCACTTATAGACGATTTAGAAGACAGTTATGGACAGCAATGGGTACCTTTTCGATCATTTTTTTTGTGGAAAAGTTTTGATATCTTAAAATTACTGATTTAGTTAATTAATTTCAAAATCGCATTAAATTGGTTTTCTCTTCATCTCAGGCAGAACGCTAAACAACTTGGAAAAGAACTTTTACCACTCAAAAAAATTTTTTTTCATCCTATGCATTTTTACATAAGCAACACAAAATATGAGGATAAGCAGGAGACAAGCTTGGTTAAACGCTTTTTCAACAAGCTAATCTAGCTTCTAGTCGGTCGGTGCGTAACATGCTGTACGTCAACTGTAGTACCGAAGTTTCAGATACAACTGAACTTTTGAATCACTGTTTCCTTACTATGCTGTAAGCAAGATCCGAGAATTTTGCAGTTGTAACTATTTTATCCTAACTTCTCACACATTGTTGTAATTATAGTTGGTGATTTCTCGAGCAGAGAATATCTTGATTTTTACATAATTTGGAGGTGAATAGTTTTGCAGACTTATGAAGCGAGGAAAGGTTTGGAGCGCTGCTGCCATGGTGCATTCTTTTACGCGATTGTCGTTGTACAGTGGGCTGATTTGCTGATTTCAAAAACTCGTTATAATTCAATTGTGCAACAAGGAATGAGGTTTTCTCCACTGTTCTTATTTTTGTTTTCAAAAAAAAATTCACATAAGCTCTCGTTTGTGGTATTCTTCGTAAAAAGCACGAATTTCCCATCAGTGTTCGGAGAATTTTGTCTGAAAAGAGATAAATATGCATGGCTAAATAACTTTGGGCTTTCAGGCTTTAGCTCTCTTTCATTTTTCTTGAGCAGAGCTTTCGTATATATACGATCTAAGTTACAATACAGACTGGACTCGTCTTAAAATTTCCATCTCTTATTATTAGTGAATTAAACACACAAAATTTTTGTTATTCAGCTTTAGATTTAAATTTGTTTTGAAATTGCTGATCCAAAAAGAGAAAAATCTGAAAGTCTCTCACACTGATAATTCTATATCAAAGTCAAGAGAGCTAATGGCTCTCATGTAAATTTATTGGAACAGACAAACAAAAAGAGGAGAAAAGCGCATGTACGCTTGGCAGTAATGCACTTTCATAAATTAGAAGCGAATTCCATGATTTTTTTGTTTTCTGCTTTTTGAAAGTAAATTTGAAATCAAAGGGAATTCCAAAAAATTATTGATGGAGCAGGTTTGTGATGGCAGTAATTTCAATATTCCAACATGATAATCCGACAAACCTCTTAACTGTTCGGGTATGTTTATTACAGCAACTGGGTTCTGAACACTGGTTTGTTGTTCACGACAGTGCTCAGTACGGTGCTTCTTTTCACACCATTCGTGAACCGAGTGTTCGGTCTCACACCGATCAGGTACTCACTAGTTTTTTGGAATATATTGCTAGCTACTGCTAGCTCTGACTATAATTTTCGGCGTGCATATGCTTTGGAATTGCGCAAAAATAGAATTACCGACAGTTAAGAGTACAAAAATATAAAAAGTTTGCTAAAAGAACGTTTATAAGCAATATTATTTGCTTGTATCCCGAGAGCTACTGGTTTGTCAGCATGAACTTGAAATCACAGCCCTAATGCAAAAGTGGTTTTAACGAAGTTGTCGTTTACTCGAAAAATCCTTCAGACTTATTGTGATACTTTGGTTAGTTACTGCTTTTATCTGCACGTCTAGTAATAAGGGCTACAATTATGATGATAATAGTAATTGTATTGGTTATCATGAATATTATGATAGTGATAGTCTTGCTATTGCTGCTATCATTGCAAGAATGAGGGTTTAACAGAAAAGGTGACCTGGAGAAAAAATTGTTGCAGTCATAAAATGCTGCAATTATTGCAGTCACAATTTTGTCGCACACTTCTGCTTCTTATTGATACAAAATTTTTTTAATAAAAAGAAGTGGACTTCTTTCGGCACGATAGATTCTTGTCGCTGATTGGGCGCGCCTTATTTCGTCTATTCGTCTTCATAACTGATAAAAGTGCTTGTATGTGCATTAACTGCACAAATAGTAAATGAATAAACCAGTTTAAACGAGACCTAGCCGGACACTCATTAGGATAATTTTTGGCTCACCCAGCGGTCAACTGACAAACTGTGACCGAGGAATAATTATCTTTAAATTGAGTTTGGTGCTAAAGCAAACAACAGACCCATGGTCGCTTCCTGATCGTTCTTTTTGTATATAACAGTAAATCAAAGATTAAAAGATTCGACTACTTAATTTGGATAATTTTGAAATTACAAAATAAGCCTGCCTTCGGCCTTACAGACAAGGACGAGGAAGCTTGAAGACTGGAAGATGATTTCACACTAAAAAAGGAAAATTTTTTCTCATCTTAATCTGAAATGCTAGAAAGGTGAAATTTCACAAGGCGCTACAATTCAACGGGCATAGCTGACAGCTGTCTCGTTTGAACGTAGAAAAAAAGACAAATGAAAACACTTCTAATACAAGTGCGCATAACATATTGCAAGACAGTGGACGTTTTTACTCTTTACGATCTCAATACTGCACGAAGCCATACAAAAACATGGTTACACTAACAACCTTGACATAGGCTCAATGAGATGTGAATTAATTTGAACTGCAGGCTTACTTGGGCTATGGTACCAGTGCCATTTGCGTGGCTGATATTCATTTACGATGAAATGCGGAAATACGCCTGCAGGAAGTATCCTGATTCTTGCATCTATCGCGACACGTATTATTGAAATTTGCACCTATTCCTTTCTGAGCTGCCATACTAATCATGCGATGCTCAGAAATCTTTGAAAACCATTGATCACTTGAAAAAGTGTTTAATTGGTTTATTTCTAGTATGCCTTTGTGATAAAGTGAAGTTTTTTCTTCCAAATGCTGTGAAAATTCTTTGACATTAGCTCGCGCAGGGAACAGTGATTTGTTGGCGTTGGAAAAACTTATATTTTTGAGTTCTTTGATTTGACGGTGAAATAGTTGAATGGGAAAATAGTCGCAAAAGGAGCGATTTCTCGTCGGTGAATAGTCCAACAAATATTCGTCGTTAATCGATGCGCAAAATCCGGTTCATGTAGTTTAGTAGTTGAAGGTACGACTCGTGTTGGTTTTAATTAAACTTAAACTGATTGGATGCCAACACCGACAACACTGTGGCAATTGAGACGCGTGTTAGTAAACTTAAGGCCTGAACTTGCCCAGCCATTACTCTGCAGAATATGACCTTCGATTGCCAAAGAACTAAAATTCGGCTCGGCTCGGTTTCGGTAGACATAGAAGTCACGAAAATTGTTGCTGGTGGCAGGAAACGTTACCCTCGGGAGCTGGATAGTTTGAATTTAGTGAAAGACTGGCGAGGAGGAGGGCGGTGTGGTGCGGGTTACGACCGCAGAGAGCCGGAACAGGGGGCAAGCTGTGATAATAACTACTTAACTCAGCTGGAACGCGCAATATGCATTCGTCTCTGGGTTTGGTGGCTGGGTGACGTAGATTTAGGTAAGTAGTGGGTGGAAAAGAAGGGAAGTGTGATGCTGGCTTGAGCAACGGAGAACTGGGGTAGGAAACAGCTGGGATGTGATTTTTTGGAAAATGTAGTTGTGAGGTCTGGGAAAGACTGAGTGTTGCTATGGTGGCAGGACTTAGATACAGAATAAAGTATGGGAGCGAGGATATAAGTTAGGAGCTCGCAGGCAGGAACTGGAGACGATAATGAGAAAGGAAAAACACAGCACTACGAAGGGAGGCAGATTAAGGCAGATTTGAGTCTATGTATAAAAACAAAGGTAAAAAAAAGCCTGTACGATTGGAAACTATCCTACAAACACCCATTTATTGTTTGTGGAGCTCATGTTGGGGTGAAACTGGGAACGAAGAAATCCGCAGTTACTAGAACTTGGCTTGCCTCATTGAGAAACGCTCTCGTTTCTGCGCTAATGCTATTTTAGGAGTGTCGCTTACCTGCTTGGCATAATGCCAGCCAGCGTTGGGTAACGTTTCTCGAACGCTACCCAGCGCTCGGTGGCTGGATGACGTGGTTGGCGGTCGTGGATAGAAAGGTGCAACGTATTTGGGTGGAGCAGGAGGAGGGGAGGGTTGTAGTGGCTGACGGGTGCCCAGATACCGCTCCGGAGGCAAGAACTGGAGCAGGATAGGGAAGGAGGACAAGGGTACTAGTCAGAAGTGCGCGGCAATAACTGGAGACAGCAGTAAAGAGGGAGGCAACACAATACCAGAAAGAAAAATAAATTAAAACAAACCTAAGCTTATGAATGGAAACGAAAAAAAAGTAAAGTCAAAGAATCGAAATAAAAGCAAAGTCATTGACGACGCGCATTGGCGGGGGGAGGGAAGGGGAGGGGGCGCGAATTTGCTTTTTGCAGTATTTCGTGTTGTTGCAAGGTTGCTTGGAGTTCCAGTAGCTAGAATTTGTGGCATGCTGGTCCTCGAAGTTCAGGAAATTAATTGTCCAACTAGTGATACTTGGTCAGGGAACATTTCCTTCAAAATTCCAGTTTTCTCTCTTTTCTGGTCATCGAGTTAGCAATTTCCTCGCCAAAAATTTTCGAGGAGCTGTATGTGAGAAACGCACATACCTCGCTGCTGAATTTGAAAACTTTAAGTTGTACGTGGGCTGAGAGCATCTCCTTAAAATTTCAGCCTCCTAGCTTTCCTGGTTCCCAATTTAGCGACTTTTCCGCCAGGAATCTTCACGGGCCCGTACGCGAAGGCCAAGAGTACCTGAGGGCTGAATTTGAAATCGTTGAGTTCTGTGTGGACGGGGAACATGACCGCAAAATTTCTGCTTTCTAGTTTTTCGAATTTCAGAGTTAGCGATTTTCCCGTCAAAATTTTAACGTGCTCGTACACGGGGATCAGATGAGCTGAGGGTTGGTGCCACGCTTCCAGAGTAACACTTGGCCGCGGAAGCCATTGGCAAAATTTTGGTGCTGGAGCTTGCTTGGTTGCCGAGTTGAAACATCCAGACACAGACAGACAGACAGACAGACACACACACACACACACACACCAAGGTCGTCACAATATGCGTTTTTGCATTTGCATATATGCAAAAACGCATAAAAAAGCAAAATCGAATAAAGCCCAGGTTGGAGCGCACCAGGCTAGTCGGTGCGATCATGCCTTTTTGCATTAAACTTCGAACTCCGTCCCTCATAGAGAAAAAAACTTCGAACTCCGTCCCTCATAGGAGAATAGAGAAGAAAGAAAGGGGCCCCACATTACGCCACCATTCAGCTGAGGACGGGATTTGATCATTTATGCGAGTCGGCGAATTAACGGCACATCGCTACCCTGCTCATTGACCAGGACAATTTCAACTTCCAAGCTTTCGCAGTTCTTAAGGTAAAGTGAACTAGTACACCCCTCATTTCCAACTACCACTGCATTTCGCTGTTCCTCTCCCCTCTTCCC